GCAGCTGTGACAGTGAGCATGGGGCAGGCACCCTGGGGCGTAGGGGGGGGTGGCTGTGCCCCCCGCCCATGCCAACCTCACCCCCTCCCTGTGCCTCTCTCCCCGGGCTGAAGCCATCCAAAGCGTGCTGTGCGGAGCAGATGCCTTGCTGCCGACCAAAACGGGGGCTGTGGGCTCAGCCAAGCTGGCGCTTCATGAGAATGGCACCCTGGAGTACCAGGTAAGCATGAGAGACCCCTCTCCCTCCTAGGGGCTCAAGGGGTGTCTCCCCACCCAGCACTGCCCCTCAGCACCCTTCCCACAGGTACAGGTGGTGGGTACAGCCAGCGAGGTGGTGGGCATCACGCTGGAGACCAAACCTCGGCGGAAGAGCAAGAGGAATGTCCTGTTTGACATGACACCCAGCTACAAGGATGGGCTGGTGAGCACTGGGTGGCGCTGGGTGGGATGGCACGGGGGCGTTGGGTGGGTCCCCGTCCCAACCCACATGGTCTCTTGCCGGTGGCAGGCCCAAGGTGCCTGGCAGAGCCCCAGCGCCCGCGATGCCCACATGCTGCTGCAGAACGAGCTCTTCCTCAATGTGGCCACCAAGGACTGGGCGGAGGGCGAGCTGCGGGGCCAGGTCATCTCCCTGCCCTACAGCGGGCTGCTCGCCCGCTACACAGGTACCCGGGGGGCACCAAGGGTGGCGGCAGGGGTGGTGGAGCAGCTTCCCCACCCGCCACCTGCCATGGCCCCTGTCTGTGTGCAGAGATGCCCGTGGTCCTGGCAGGGCAGCTGGTGTCCCCCCCCGTAGGCAGCGGGGCCGGGGGGCACGCCTGGCTCTCGCTGGATGAGCACTGCCACCTGCACTACGAGATCTCGGTGGCAGGGCTGGGCCGCCCAGCCGACGGAAAAAAACACCTCCACGGGGTGGCTGAGCTAGGAGAGATGGGTGCCCGTCCCCACCAGCACAAGCGCCTGCTCAAGGGTTTCTACAGCACCGAGGTGAGATGGGCCTCTGTCTGTGGGCAGCTCAACAGTGGGGACTGGGTCAGCCCTCATGGACCCACCCCCCATGCCCGTCTCACCCTGGCAGGCTCAGGGGGTGGTGAAGGACCTGGACGCCGAGGGTGGCTGAGCTAGGAGAGATGGGTGCCCGTCCCCACCAGCACAAGCGCCTGCTCAAGGGTTTCTACAGCACCGAGGTGAGATGGGCCTCTGTCTGTGGGCAGCTCAACAGTGGGGACTGGGTCAGCCCTCATGGACCCACCCCCCATGCCCGTCTCACCCTGGCAGGCTCAGGGGGTGGTGAAGGACCTGGACGCCGACCTGCTGCAGCACCTGGCCCAGGGCACTGCTTTCCTGCAAGTCAGCACCAAAGCCCACCCCCATGGGGAGATGCGGGGACGGGTAGGTCCTCATCTGGGCAGGGCATCCCTACCCATCCCCACCACTGCCTGGGGTCTCCAGCCAGGTGACGCTGCCCAGGGTGGGGTGGGAAGGGGACAGGATGGGGGGCACACCATGGCATGGTCCCAGCAGCCCAGCGTCATGGTGTGTACTGTGGTCGTGGGTTCTTCCTCCACCAGCCCTGACCGTGGGGGGCAGCTGGGCACTGGCATGGGAAGCGGGGTCCCCTGGTGCTGCCAACCCTCCTGCTCCATGCCCCCATTTAGGTGCACATCCCCAACCGGTGCCATGCAGGAGGGACTCGCCTGGCCCCAGGGGAGGCCGAGCTCTCTGAGGGCACCAAGACCAGGGACCTGGAGCAGCTCAAGAAGGACCCCAACTCCTGCTTCTTCGAGGGGCAGCACCGGGCACATGGCACCCGCTGGGCACCTGACTATGACAAGAAGTGCTCCATCTGCAGCTGCCAGGTACAGGCCAGTGGGGGGCAAGCTGGGGAGCAGCACACAT